TCATCTGCCATCTATTTCAAACCTTACACCTACATAGTACCTAATACTGATGCACGTCATTTGATTCACAATCCAAATTAAAGAATATCCAACATCGAATTTAACATGCCATGGGCAGATTTTGATAAAACTGAATTGGTTCTTAAGGCAAAATGCTGTTCCGATGCAACAACAACTACACTGAACTATGATGGATTTTGTTCTAGCTTTGTATTTGTCTAGAACACTGTAGGTTATTGATCAAAATGGCCCACTAACCATTGCATCATTCATAGAATAATGATATGGATCTGCGTACTTTGTTTTGTTGAATGTTTTCGGTGTTTGAATAAAAAATGCTATTTACATGTACGACTTTTTTTGAAAACTGTTTTCTTTGATATGTGGTATGTACATTCTTTGGTTGAACACCATAAGATTTGTTGTAACAATGTCTTCAATCTGCTTCTCAGTATAGATTACTTCATGGAATGTAAATAAAGCAGCGCTATATCAAACCATTCATTCTTGTCTATTTTTTGTAGCGTTAAGCATAGTACAGAATGGTGAACTTCCAAAATTTATTGAAGAAGATGTTCTGATGGAGTTATTTATTGATAACAGCACTGCGCCGTGTCTTGTTCAGCTTAGGAGAGGCCTGAGCATGTTAGGTGTATATCAGGTATTCGCAAACATTATTAACTTTTAAAATGTACATTATTTCTCAGTAAGCCGAACGGGGACTATTAATTTTGGTTCCTTGCGTGTGTGTGTGTCCATCCGGAGCCATTTCTCGGACGCCCTTTGACCATAGACCCTCAACAAAGGGATAGGAAACAGGGCTATTTTCTTTTTAATTATGCAAAGCAACATCGTACAAACACATTAGTGCGAGTTTACATAACGGTGTACAACGCAAATAAACTAACTGATAAACTTATCGTCTGGTCACGAAAAATCTCGCAAAATCCCGAACGCGATTTACGGGGTTTTGCGAGAACGAGATTATGCTAAATAGCTACATGTGTCATTTTCAAAATGGAGGTTGATCAGAATGCTTGGGAATATTTTAGCGATGACGAGGAGTTTTTCGAGGTTATGGAAAGTTTGGAAGAAGAAAACGTGGATATTGTCGATGAGGGAATTGACAATCCAAGTGACTCTGGTTCTATGTGAGCCGTTGGCGATGAAAAGAAATCTGGGCGACGAAATTTACGATATCTGGATTCGTTCATCGATGTCATTGATATTGAAGTGGACGAAAGCATTGGTGGCGGTCGTTTTAAAAGCTCTATTTTGTAGCAAAGGTTTTAAAACGAAATCGGGTTGCAAGAACCATCTACTGAATGGTCACAAAATCACCGGTACGTGTATATTTTGGTATACGTTTTTTTTCTATGATATATTACGCCATGGAGTTTCTCTAGCAATCACTTTGTTTCTAGGTTTTGACACCTGTTATTTTTGTTTTCTTTCTATAGACGAGTCAATGGAAACTATGTCTGCAGCTATGACCACCAAACAAAAGGAGGATAAAGGACACGAGGCGAAAAAGTCCAAGAGAGCAGGTGCGTTTTGGTTGGGTCGAAACAATTACATGTTAGGGGGTTGACTTTTGTAAACTATGGGGTGGGAGATGGTAGAAAGAATTTTCCTTTGAGCTGAATGTTTTTTTTCACAACAAATAACTATAATTTTTTTGGGGGTGTTGTATATTTTTTTTTGTACTAAATATTTTATTTTGTCTGTAAATTCCATTGCATGTCCCTGTTAAAATAGTTTTCCAAATCTACTCATCAGCTACCCCTTCTGTGGTATTAAATGCAGCAGAATATCTGTTACACAAATATCATTTATTTTTATTGGAATATTACTGTACAGAGCAATTATAAATATAAATGCATCAACAGTTAAAATATAGATCATACAAAAATGTAAATGATTAAAACTATAGTCTAATTTCTTTATGAAATTATTTTTTTGATTAAAATAAGTTCCACCATCATCATGGCAATGTCAGAAAAAAGATGAACAAGTGTGTGTGTAATGTGAATCATCATTAATTAATGTTGTATTTCCCGAATTATTACTCATTCGGTTTCAAAAGAAAAGAATTGGTCAACCTTGTATAATGTTTTTACTTTAGTTAAAAGACCAGTTCCAGTGTATACCATCAAAGATGGTGGACAACTCCTCAAAGCATCATTAGATGATCTGCTTTCAAGAAATTGCATCAAGTTTGGGGGATTTGCCAAAGGAATAATGGTACTTAAAGTAATCATCACTGCACTATGTCTTCTTGTCGATGAAAACCCAGATTTTGTAGAGTGTAAGATGTCTGGAATAATAGATGTACTGTGGCCAGCAATTATAGCAGGTGATGAATATCTATTTTCTTGCACGAGGCGTGAAGCAGTTTTCAGGAGTTATCACAAATTAAGAGTATCCACTGAACTAAAAACTGCTATAAAATCGCTATGCATGATGATACAGCAACCAGTTTTAAACTCTCATCTAGCTACAATTACGAATGCTGTTTTTGAGACCATCTATTCGCGACGAGAGAAGATTGAAAAAGAGGATGAAACTGTGACTTTGCAGTTGACGAGTGCTGAGGAAAATATTCTGAGATATGCATGTGGGTACATCCCCATGGCACTGTCAAGAAAATCTCTGTGCAGCCTGAGATGTTGGAGTGTCTTTTAAATATGCATTCCATTAAACCACTGTCTTCCAACAGCTTCTTGTCTTATACAACTGAATGGGTAAACATTGAAAATAGGGGAGGTCTATTTGTTGTTAATGATAATACATATTTTTTAGAATGGTTGAGAAATTTGTTAGACATCATGTAAATTGTCTTGTCAGTGGTAATTTTCGTGACGCAGTGATACATTCTGTATTTTCTGATACACTAGCCCTGACCTATTGGTCAGAGTTGTCAGCAGGACTTGAGGAGGCAGCATCAGTACAACTCATGTTGATGTGTGTCAAGCTATGGATTAACATCAGAGGACATTCTTCTGCAAAACAGATGATTGAGCTCCACAAATCCAAACAAGGCACTGCAATATGTGGAAACAAGGGGCCTAGTAAAGTTTTGAAATTAACCATTTTAATGTCATTTCACAGAATTTCTAAAATGCAAATCATCAAACCAATGTTAGAGAATTTTCCAGTCAGCCAGAAATTTGTTTTGGCACTCAGTAGACCAATTTCACAAGCCAAAATGGTCATGCGCAAATTCTATTCCAGATTTTTGATGAGAACTGCATGGTTAAATTTTCTTTACCACTCTTAATTAATTTACTGGCCACAACAAGTAGATGTTCTGTATATAAATAATACTGCATTTGCTCTATTACTAGCACATGTGTTTATATAATGTGTCGCATACGACTTATTTACCACTTCCGTGTCACTGAGAATGTTCTAGAACCGTACTGTGTCTGGGTGGAATATTCTATATTTTTTTAGAAAATGGTTGAATAGGTAATAGAACACTGTAGGAGGCAATAGAAGGTAATGGAACATTCTAGAAATTTGTAGTAAGTGCCAGACTCATTATGTATGCTGATGTAATGGTCTATTTATAGACAGTGTGGGTTTATATAGGGGAGTTGTTCAGCACTGAGATCAGATCAGAGATCTCGTTGAATTGTATTGGAGTTTAAGTATCTAGTTATTGGAGTAGTGGAGTTTTACCGCGTTATTGTACTTGATGTTTGCAGAGTATAATAATACCAGTACCAGTTGAAACCTCATCTGTTGGCTCCGTGTTCGTATGTTATCATCGCCGCCAGGGAAGTCTTTCTGTTACTGTTGCCATTTTGGTATTTGAACCATCACACCTGTACTATACCAATTACGGTAATATTACGTTGCGTGTGACATCTGGGGGCTCGTCCGGGAACAGTGAAGACATATAGAA